AAAAATATTAACAGATACCACACACACACACACACACACACACACACACACACACACACACACACAGAGTGATGAGTGTATCTCACCAGTTTGAATCCCACCACCTGCTTGGACTGGTGCACGTGCATGATGTCAGAAGCCTTGTGAATGACACTCCCACTGACTTTCCGCTTCCGGCCCGTGAGGAAGTCCCTGGCCACCTTGCCCGTCTCCTCCTGTTTCAAGAACATCAGCGGGACGGAGTGGAGGAATTTGGGCCGGACGCCCTCCCAGGCTGAAGTCCAGGATTCTGCCTCACGTCGTTTTCGATGGTTAATCTCCGAAAAGCCAAAAAGGGTCTTCAAGGCCACTCGGGTCTCCTGTTCCAAGTCGGAGAGAAGGTCCTTCACTGCACTGTACCTGGCAAGAGAAAGGCAGGGTTAGGGAGGTGGCACTGTCCTGGCTGTCCTCAGTGCCCAGCACAGGACAGGGACACTTGCCATCAACCGGTGGGTGGCAGTCTTTCCCGCCTCCTTGGGCATGACAACCAGTCCCTTCACAACTTGCTCCGTCTGAAGGGACTATCTCCTGTGACCTCCCTGTGACTTTCTGTGGCTTCGCCTCTGCCACGACTCGCTGCTTGCTCTCGGGGTGTGTTTATGAGTTTGCCCCAACCAGCCTTTCTGGAGTGGTGACTGTCAGGTGCCTCCCATAAACCAGCCACAGCGAGGACAGATGAAATGCATGACTGGTGGCTGGCAGTCTCCTGGGGAAGCTCCATCTACCTGACTTTGTTCCTGTCCCCTGATTCCCCTGCAGCCAGATCCAGGAGGGAAGATGGGACTGCGGCCTTGAGAGGCCCCCAAGAACACCCAAGAATGATGCAGCTATTGACCATGTGGCCTACGGTGCTGTCATCTTTTCATTTCTACAAGGCCAAGTGGTTCCTGTGTCCCTCTTAACTCTTCCCTCTCTCCTCTAGTCTTCTGGCTCTGTTTAAAGTCAAAGGAGTGTAGTGATCAAGCACATGAACTCCAGAGCCAAACTGCCTAGCAGATTCCCCATTTGACTCCCAGCTGTGTGCCCATGTGTGACTTTACCTTTCCATCCCTTGGTTCCCTTTTCTGCAAAATGGACATATGAGAAAGAATCAATAGCACACACATTAGAGAGAAAAAGGAAACTCAAGCTCATTGCTGTCGAGTTGGAACTGACTCATAGCTGACTTTCTAGAGGGTTTTCAGAGGCAATAAATCGCACGGGAGGAGACTGCCCAACTTTCTCCTATAGAACCACAGGTGGGTTTGAGCCATCAGAGAGGCCTTTGAGTTATCAGGCACCTCTCTCTGGACGAGGCTTCAGACCTCCCCATGGATGATATGAATGATGTGTGTGTCTGTGTGTGTGTGTGTGTGTATGAAGCACCTGCTGCAGAGGGTCAAGGACTGCAGGACTGCAGCCTACAATATGGATTGAGGCTCAATGTCAAGAAGACAAAGATTCTCACCACTGGACCAATTGGCAGCATCAGGATGGATGGTGA